TACCAATTGCTTTAATCCAATCTCAGCTATATTTACTTCTCAGTTACTTATGCATCTAGACTCTAATTAGCCCTCCTCACTCACTACCTATATGTAATTGACTGGTGACTTCTGTTTCAGTGTATCTGAGGAAATGTGTGTGCACTTGAAAGCTTATAGCTAGAAATGTTGGTCTTAAACCTTTGTTCTACCATGCATACAGGGGGAGTAAGATGGAGCATGCTGGTTCCAGCCCTGCGCAGTCATTGAAACATGAACTTGGCAGGTTAACTATATACAAAATGTATGCTCATAGAATTCCTATCCATGACTGGGAAACTTTGAAAAGCCATGAAAATTTGAAAAGCTGGTCTCGCAGGCTCCAAGTCCAAGTCCAAGTCACGCAGGCAGGAGCAGGTCAAAGGAATGCTCACAGTGCAGCCCAAATAGTCCAAGATCAGTTGTTATAGTCAGAGAGAGTCCAAAAGCAGAGTCAAGCCGGCCCAAGAGTCACAGTATTAGAGCAGAGCCAGGAGTTGTGGTCGCAGGATTCACTGTGAGGTGACATGTTGCTTCCACAAGTTGGGAGCAACTCACACCCAGCTTTATGTAGCCTTTCCCTAATAAGTCTTACCTGCACCTGGCAAGTTAGCAGGCCTCCTGTAATGACTCATCTTGTAGCTGTCGATGGGCCATTAATCTTTTACTCTGTGTTCTTGCAGTTGCCTTCTGATCTTAGCCATTCTTCATTCTATGGGGGGGGATCTACTCTGAAGTCATCTTTCGCCATGCTAGACTCAGGCTCAACTTCTGAGGAGTCATTACTCACACTGGGCTCCAGTTGCTAATCAGACTGGTCAGTAGGGTTGCCAACCCCCGAAAATGTAGCGGCGGGGGAGAGCCCAGCCGGTCCGGGAGCCTCTTCCAAATGTCCTCGTGCGCGCGCTTTGCGCGCGCGCGCCGCCGGCACGACACCGGAAGTGACGTCACGCGCTGGGCGGGGCCACGCCATTTGAGGGGAAAACAGCTCCTGCATTTAAAAGGGAAACACCGGCTCCTTTAAGGGCAGGGAACTGCCGTTTCTGGAGATCCGACGCACGGGTGAGAGGGCGGCGGACGTCCCCAACGTGACGTCTTCATGTTGGGGATGCCCCACCCCCTCCAGGAACGCCCCCAAAGTCCCCCACTGGGGGTGGAAGATGGACTTGGCAACCCTACTGGTCAGGCTGGATCTCACCCAGGCTGGGCTCAGTCAGCAAGTCAGAGTCTGGCTGTACCTCAGGCTGAGGCTGGTCCACGACAGTATCCCACTAGTATTTAAATAATTAGTAAGAATAAAACGTAGCTTTAGATGAATAATTAAGACGATATTAAGGTTTTTACAACAATTTAATTTTAGCATAGAAGTTCATTCAGCTGTTAAAGATGTAATCTCTTTTATTGTTAATAGATTATCGCTAACCTTAGGAAAGTTCTTGTTTATTCTTTAAAGAGAGACTCTATCACAAAATTCTGTAATGTTGATGTTGTATTGTCTGCTTCTATATTTGAAATACGTAATACATTTGGTAATATATCTGATTTTACCTGTTGTACGTAACAACTCATAATATTTGACAAACCTTGATGAATTTATATTTCCCCCCTATCCCTTCTTCCCTTCTGTATCCCACCCTTTTTTTATTTTTGAGAAAATAATTTAAAATTATTTTTTTTTAAAGGAATGGAAATGGGCACATCATTTCATCCCTTTCTCACATAATTACTGGTGAATAATAGTTGGTAACAGGTCAATAAAGACCTTGATCAGAGCATCTAATAAAGGTCATGAAGTAGTGATGACATATATTGTTTACTACTTCTTTTCAAACAAGGTTAAATCGTGATCCTTTGGCTATGAATTAAGTTATTATTTCTAGGGGGGGGACCTGTAGCCATTACGTGTCTTCCGTACAAGGCAGTCCTCTTGTGAATATGGAAGTAGTATAGTTGGATAAAAGGAATACACAGTTTTCTTTGAAAAACACTTTATAAATAAATGTATTTGAGGATACTGAGTAATTATTTTTCAGTTTTCAAATAATATGGCCTCTCTTCTAGTTTTGTTTAGGCTGGATTGTGTAAGAGGAGGTAAAGTCTCTGCAGTGAGGAGAAAAGTACTGAGAATATTAATAGATTTAATAACGAAAGAGCTTGCTATCAACTCTATAATCATTTTGGCTATTACAAGCCATGTACAAATGGTAGATCAAAGACATATCACAGGAAAAGCTTTTGGTTGCCACTGTCTTCAAGAAAAAATATTTTCAGTTCTATATCTCTGAATTGTAATAACGGTTCACAGCAATTTCTTTACCAGAAACCCCATGTCATACTTGATTATCCATAAAATAGCATCTGCCATAGCTGCACATCACGGTAGCATTAAATAAGGTGATACTGTGTTTTTGTTTTTAAATCTGTATATGTGTTACAAAAGTTACTCATCATAGTAATACCTTTCCCACCAAAGAAAGGAAGCAGTACTAGAAGTTAACGATTTGTGCCAGGATTTGGTGTGGTCTGTAAGTGACCAGTGGGTTTCTCTGTATGCTCTGCTCTTAAGAACATGAGAAGCCAATGTTGGATCAAGCCAGTGGCCCATCCAGTCCAACACTCTGTCACACAGTGGCCAAAAATACCAGGTGCCATCAGGAGGTCCACCAGTGGGGCCAGGACACTAGAAGCCCTCCACTGTCCCCCCCAGCGCCAAGAATACAGAGCATCACTTCCCCCAGAGTCCCTATCTATACCTTGTGGCTAATAGCCACCGATGGACCTCTGCTCCATATGCTTATCTAATTCCCTCTTGAAGCTGTCCATGCTTGTAGCTGCCACCACCTCCTGTGGCAGTGAATTCCATGTGTTAATCACTCTTTGGGTGAAGAAGGACTTCCTTTTATCTGTTCTAACCTGACTGCTCAGCAATTTCATTGAGTGCCCATGAGTTCTTGGTGTCAGTCATGGTAGTATTATATTCCGTTTTGTTGACTGCAGCAGAAAATCAATTGGCTGCAGTGCCCTAGTTCCAGAAGCTTCGTATTCAAAGGGCGTCATTCCCAGGGAGGTACCCTTTTCCTTATACACCTTCCCTTTGAATAAGATAGTCAGATGAGATTCTGCTTCAAAGGCCTGTACAGGGAGTACATGAGGGCCGGTCTTTGCTGTTGTGGGCTCCACGTACTGTTACATGTGGCTTGACAGGCTTTTTAGAAAACAGCTATTCCAAAGGGCCTTAGGGACACCTGCCTGATACGTTCATTTTAATACTGATGCAGGTGCCTTAACTTTTTCAGTATTTGAAACCAATGTTTTATGGCGTCTATTTTAAATTAAAACACTTCTATTTTAGCGATTGTTTTGTTGTGGCTAGAATGCGGGTTCAATCCAGCCAGCTTTCTCACTCTGTGTCACCTAGTTCTCCTCCTAACTACTGCCTCCCACATGGCTTTTGCCCATGCAGGTCCCATGGTACCCAGTGTAGCTTTTTTGAGGATCAAACGCAGGGGTTGTTTTATAGAAAAAGAGCTAGGGGAACTCATTAGCATAACTCATTAGCATATGCCACACCCCCTGACATCACTGGAAGTGTGTCATAAGGCCACACCCCCTGACATCACTGGAAGTGTGTCATAAGGCCACACACCCCGCCCCCAACGGTCCCGGCCGCCGGCGGCCTTGC